TTTCATATGACAGTTATGAAGATTTAATTATTGTATTAATACTCACAAAGAAATAACCACAATTTGACTATTAACTTAAATGCCAGCAGTTCATATTGTAGCAATGAATTCAATCCATGCCAATATACATTAATAATATCTTAATAATTATGTACCAAAGTTAGATATCTGTAAAGACACTCATATTTCACTTCAAGTGTGCTTCAATGTACTATTTTAAGGGTCACCCCAAAGCTGACAGCAATAAAATGAATAAATTATAACAAAAGAAACTTAATATGGGATGAACTCAAGACAGTAAATGTTTGTTCTAGGAGGCTTCACTTTACTCTCCCAATGAGTCTCTTAGTAAAAATCAATCATAATAACTACACTGTGTAACAATAGTAGCCATCAGAATATTCACCAGTTACCCTCAGTGACACCAACGATAACTTTTCTTGATAAAACCTCTCACAAAATTCATCAGTTAAAATTCTAGCCAAGTGCCAGTATTTCATCCTTTAATCCTCCAGACATCTGTCTTCTTTAATTTCTTTGTATAACACTGACTACATTTCATAGTTTTGTCACTTAGCGTCTTTGGCCCACTATGTACCTTCCTGGTAGGACATCTTTGAGGAACAAATTACATTAATAATAACAATACTATAGTTGCACAGCTGGCGGCTTCTCAAGAAAGGCTGTGATCCATGGAGTTAATTAAACAGTACTCTTCCAACTATTCAACATACAGACTTTACATAAGATTCTTAGTTTAGAATTACGTTGTGCATTCAAATTCTAAGGTCTCCGATTTTTTTTCTCACACAATAATCATACAATCAATTTGAAACTTCTGTCACTTTTCAACGTAATCTCCCTGCAGCCATACACATTTTTCACAACGTCGATGCCTTGATTCCATGGCCGCTATGAACGCTTCTGTAGGAGTCTGTTTTGACCACTGGAAAATCGCGCTTTGTTTCAGGATTGAAAAACGGCATCCATGTCTCATCCATTGTCACAATTGATGAAAACAAAGTCCCATTCATGCCTTCATCACGTGTCAACATCGCCTGGCAAATTGCCATGCGCAGCCTTGTGGTTGTCCGCCAGCATTCGTGGCACCCACCTGGAGGACACTTTCCGCATTCGCAGGTCTTCATGCAGGATTGTGTGCACAGATCCCACGGAAATGCCAACTTTGGAGGCTATGTTTTCCACACTCAATCGGCGATCCTCCAAAACAACTTTCTCAACTCGCTCGAACATGCTGTCAGTGCAAGGCCGAGATTGTTGTGGTTCGTTGTCACACGATGTTCGGCCTTCTTTGAACTGTCACACCCATGAACGTACATTTTTCACATTCATGACACCATCACCACATGTCTCACTCAACTGGCGATGAATTTCAATGCGTGTTGCGCCACGCAAGTGGAGAAAACGAATGATTACTCGCTGTTCTTGTGACGAAAACGTCGCCATTTTAAGTATCAAAAACACTCCTCAGTCTCGCCGCCACCTCTAGAGTTCTGTGTGCTGTACAGTGCTGCCATCTCTGTCAAGCATTCACAAAGAGTGCACACGTATTTTAAACTAAACCGTATGTGTCTATCTGCTCCCAGTCCTGAGAAAAAAAATCGGAGACCTTAGAACTTGAACGCCCCTCGTACAGGCAACTTAGTTTTGATTGTTACTGCTGTAAGGAAGAACTGGCAGAAGTTCAGATACTGACTCCAGTGCACTGAGTATTAAGTAATACTACAAGGGCTGGATAAAAAGTAGTGGCAACACTGCTGTAACATGAAAGATGTGCGTCAGGTGGCACTAGCGCCGTCTGTAGCTGATAGCAGAAGTTCAGCTGAAGTAGTGCAGTGAGTGGCTCTGGTTGTGTTTCATTGAGTTGCATTGTGCGTCGTCTTGAAGTGCAGGAGACCAGTTCAAGCACCCTAACAAAATGTTTATGAAACAAGAACAATGCTCCTGGATAAAAGTTGAAGTTGCACAAGGTCATAGTGCACACAACTGTTATCAGGGTCTGCGAGAAGCATGTGGTGATGCTGCTTTGCCATATCGCACAGTGGCATGATGGGTGAAAGTGTTCCGTGAAGGAAGGGATGCCATCACTGTTACATAAAACTGAAATGTTTACATTTTAAATCAAGTCACAAATTTAGGCTAAAACCATTAACATGTGAAATCTAGACCATGATTCAGATGCCAAATATGCAGGCTTATGCTGAAAGAAAAAGAAAAACCTTTTGTGTGTGTGTATGGAGGGGGACAGCCACATGTGTTTTATTCTTTAAGGAAGAAATCTGTAACATCTTAATTAAATAATCTTATAAGATCTGGTACAGATACCGACAAATTACTGCAACAGCATACTATTCATTTAGCCTCAATACTTTGTGAATGACAAGTTTTAATGCACACAATGGAATTATAGAAGTTGCATTTGAGCAAAATAAGTACATAATTAGGATCTAATACATTCTCATATGCATAGCAAACTGCTACCGATTAAATCAAAATAGAACTGTCATTATACAAATAATATTACTCTTAAAAGTAGACCAATATAAATGCAACAGAACTACTTAAATGTTCTCTAACAAATGGTCTATGACTGTTTTGGAATGAAAGAATATACATCCACTTGAACTGCTGTTATTATAATAACAATGTAATATCAAGTATGTTACATGCAAAATACTATTATGTAAGTAATTAAAAATTAACCAAATAATCTCTCACAAAACTATACAGGAATACAGGTATCTCTAGGCCATGAAACCAGCTTCTCAAGGCATCTTAAATGGGTAACTTTTTGGGAACATTTAGAATGTTCCATTCATATTTATCACACTTACTGTTCTCTTGGGCACGTTTTAATATTATTTTCACAGTCTGCATCCTGTTGTGAGTCATAAGCAAATGGCAAGGCAGGGTTTCCATCAAATAACAAGTGTGGTTATACAATCAATCAATAAATACTCATACTGAATTTTTTATTTTTGTACCGCTACATGTTTTGGTCCTAATGGGACCATCATCAGGCAGTAATTATGATCGAATAGCTTAAGTTATTTGAACTCCAAAATATGAATCCATATTTAGTGCAACACGTTCATATTACAAAATTAAGTCTAGATTAGAATATAGGAAATTACACCATTAAACTTCTCAATATTAAGATTATACAGAGTGTAAACAAATAAATGTTACAGTGCTCTGTGGTAGATAAATCGGTTCAATCTGATCATATTTTGTTAATGCACCCACGTCCTGAAACACTCTATTTATGCGTTAGGGCCCCTGAAATGTGATGCCCTTACGTATTACCTCTGTGGCTTACTGGTAACATTTACCTAACACATCTCTAAGAGACCTTACCCGAGCTGCTGGAAGTCTGTTGTGAAATGTGGTTCCAGCATGAGGGTGCCTCGGCAACTGCACTAATGTCATCCATGAGTATTTGGAAGAAACCCCTGGCAACAGATGGATTGGACATAGAGGCCCCCCACTCCCGACTTGACTCCATTGGATTTCTTTCTCTGGGGGTACATGTGTATGAGACGCCAGTGGAGACACAACATGATCTTGTGGTAAGAATTATAGTAGCAGCTGGAAGCATCTGGGAAATGCCGGGAGTCTTTCAAGGAGTTCAGCAATGGCCAAGCTGTGCAGAACATGTAATCAAGTCGGCAGCCGCCATTTTGAGCAACTTTTATAATGTAAAACAATGATAACATCCACTAAAATTTATGCATCCTCTCGGAAACTTTTGTGGCCTTTAGTGCCAAAAGGAAGTGTTTTCCAGACATGAGTGTATTAACAAAATATGATCAGATTGAACCCATCTATCTGCCACAGAGCATTGTAACATATATTTATTTACACCCTGTATACATAGAATTGTATTGAAACTGAATTAAAGATATATTAAAAGTATTAATGTATTAAAAATTTCTGCACGTGATGTTTATTGAAGGCGAATGTTATGTTGGTAAGATGTTATATTATGAAATAAGGACTTGGGAATGAAACTGAAAGTTATACAATTAAAACATATAGTATTAAAGTTATCAGAGCAACTGCTAAGATTTCCTCAGTGTTCACAGTTTTCGTGTTACATGAATAATTGTGGAAAGCCATGTTGTTGAGCATCTCTCAGGGTTGAAGTTGTTATGCCTTGGGTTATGCGGTAGTAAATGTATTATGGATATTATTACATGAGCTGTTACGATTTATTGATATTTGTGCAGTGTGTGTCATTGGGTAAAGATGTAAAAATTTTGCTATCGTTGATATATGTGTGCATCCTTTCTGTATGGGTGCTGTGTGTTGTAGCTCAGTTCAACGTGGACTACTTGGAATTGTTCTAATAATGTAATATTTTAGGTTTTAATTGTATAACTTTAAATTTCATTCCCAAGGCCTTATTTCATAACTTAACATCTTACCAACATAACATTCGCCTTCGATAAACATCACATGCACACATTTTTAATATATCTTTAATTCAAATGTAATAAAATTCTTTGTACATATACGATCTTAATTTTGAGAAAGTTAATATTGTAATTTTCTATATTCTAATCTAGACTTAATTTTGTAATATGAACATGTGGCACTAAATATGAATCCACATTTAGGAGTTCAAATAACTTCAGTTGTTTGATCATAATTACTGCCTGATGATGGTCCCATGAGGACCAAAACATGTAGGGGCAGGAAAATAAAAAAATTCAATCTGAGTATTGATTGACTGTATAAACACGTTTGTGTTGATGGTAACCTTACCCTGCCATTTAATATTGTAATGTGTTTGGAGTAGATACTTCCATGGTAATGCAATAACAGTTAGCCGTTGCGTAGACAATGCCGAAACAAAGAACGCATTCCCCCAGAGATGAACAACAGAAGGCCGTTGAGTAACAACAGATGGGACAAAACACATTACCAGTATATAAAGAGCTTTCCTGAAGCAACGGATTGCCGAACACGTGAGATCAAACCTTGGCAAATGGTGTCTTGTATCCGGTCCGCAGAACACCTATATAAGCTGACAACCACAGAGCTAATAAGCCTTCATACAACACAGTTGCGATCCAGCCATAGTCAGAGACAGTTGGAAGATAGCCACAGCAGAATGCAGTTGAAGTGATACTATTTGTATTTGAGTGTGCAAGAATTAACGTGTTCGCGAAATCCGAGGGCTGTGTGAAGTTACCTGTTGCGTGACATACCCAACACGTGACAATATTTACAAAACGGCCTTCCACTCTTTCAGAAAGTGACTAAATAATGAAACTAATGATCTCATTAAGGTTCGAGATTCCATAGGAAAGTAAGGCAGAGGTATGTCTGTGCGATAATAGAACCATTTAAAACAGTATGAAATTAGAGTAAGAATGATCAATCATTAGTTTTCATACGCGACACAAGCTTGGTGCTTCACCGTCCTATTTACTTACTCTAATACTTTCACATCCTAGATTCATTATGTGCCTCCACATTCAGATATAGACTCCAATGCATACTAATGTAACAAGTGTGATTTAAAAGTGTATAGCATATATGGAAATCACCCACAACGTGAAATTGTGAAAATTGAAGTCAACCTTTCTATCCACTCTTCCAATCTATATTTGTACAAAAAATTATAAACATATTTTTTCACCCCTAAAACAATTTCAAGTTCAAATACCTAGTAGTTTTCTTTTTCACTTATGTGTTAAAGTATTGGGTTTCTGTGACAGATCCTTTGGCTGACAAAATACATTTAATTCAGATGTGGTGTGGGTGTCTGTGCATGGCATTAAAGCATGGACTGATGCATAGTCTTCCTCCCCTTCTTTGCTGCTGGCAGACTTTTCTGATGAAGGAGGAGTACCTTTTACTTCAGCACCACAATTATAATGGGAAGACAAATTATCTCCTGATGAAGTATTCTCTATAACTAATACACTATTATCCTGACCCGATGCAAGGGCACATGTTTTATCATCAATTTTTAAAGCAATGTCAGCACTGTATAATGGAATGTTAGAGGCAGATGAGTCACCCAAACTATCGGGTAGTGAATCTCTGTTCACAGAATTCTCTATAGCTAAACCACTCATCACAGCTTTTCCTGTAGCTATTGGAGATGTCTTCAGTGACAGCTTTCCAAATCCTTCACTGGTTTCACAAGAAGTTTCATAAATCCCATGAATAGCTTCATATTCTTGTTTCCACTCTGTGTATTCTTCCTTATATGGTGCTAATGGAATAACAAACACAGAAATGTCATCAATTGTAGCAGCTTTACCATCAGCAGTTTTCCAGTTCTTCTCATACAGTTTCCCACGTGAATGCATGACAAGATCTTGAGCAGCAGATGTATACCTTAGAAAAACACCACATAAGTAATTAGAACCATGTTTACTACCCAGAAAAAAAAAAGCCGTAGCTTTAGTCCGCAAGCAAACGATACCGACAGAGTGACTGCTGCTTGTTGGCGAAGTTAGTGCCAACTTTAGTGGATAGAGGGTGTCACATGGTCAGCGCAACAAATCCCCATGGCCGTTAATCTCCATTTTCTAGACCGGAGCTGATATCTTTCCATTCAAGTAGCTCCTCAGTTATCCTCATGAGGCTGAGTGGACCACATTCCAGACCCACTACTTCTCAGAAAATCTGTTAGTGCCAGGAACCGAACCCGGGACCTATGGATCTGTAGCCAGGAACTCTGACCACTAGAGGCGGTCCATGTTTACTCCCCAGACAGACACATTAAAATACACTGTGTATAAAACTATCAAAATGGATCAACAGCTGCTTCAGAACTTTATCCCAAAGGCGTAAATATAGACAAATAAAAATAATAAATAAATGTAAAGTTGTTTATATACCATTTCATTAAGATGTATTGGGGAATGAAGATACATTTCACACATTTTTAATCTCAGCCCTAGATGGAAATGAGTGTTTAGCTTCATGCTCTAGACCCTTGGGGAAAGAGTCCCACAGACATTGGATAGACCCCACAGCTGATGTGGATGTGAAGAGGAAAATTCTGGCCTCTTGCACAAATAAAATCCTAGTTAATAAGCTCTTAACCAGTTACTTACTGGCTGATCTATCCCTGCTTATATAAATTTATCCTAACAGAACTGTCAATGGCTATCCTGGTCATACTGTTACACCAAGCATATAAGCAGAAATATGAAATGATGGCAAAAGCTAATCAGTTTGTCTAAAACTAACAAAAGCACATTTTCTTGGCCTGGATTTTTCTTAAAATAAACTGTACTGAAATAATGGAATTTTCTTGCTTACTATGACCAACATATGCATACAAAGCACACACAACACACCATACCACACCACAGGCATGCACAGATGCACACACACCCACCTTGTAGGCATTTTATTATCTTATTGTATATTTCCATTATGTAATATTTTACTATTTTATAAATATATATACATACTGACCTCTCAAAAGGAACCTAAACACTCTTGTTAAGCACTGTTCACAATCCTTAAACTATACTGAAAGAATGAACTTGCTTATTTATAATGAAAAGCACAATAGACCACTGTAGGTCGCGGTGCAAGGGCCAAGAAGGCCCATCCCTTATACATTCATTGTATTTATAACGATCATCTTATGAATTTATATTCCCACTGAGCAATGTTTGAAAATTGCGCAACTTCCACAGCTTTTTCATTTCTGGTCACAATCTACAGCCCAACAGTACTCAGTATGAGAACATCAGAATTATGGTCAGTTCAGTGTAACTTACCTATACTTCAAGCGGGACTTGTCATTAGCTGGAAAATGATCTAAACTTCTCTGCACAATTTCCACAGCTTTTTCATTGCTGGTCACATCCCACAGCCCATCAGTACCCATTATGAGAACATCAGAATCTTTTATTTCCTCTTCTTGGATGTCCAGAATTTGGACCTGAAATATGTTAGATAAATCAACCCACTCCACAAGTGTTTGAGGGTTAGTTAACATATACATTTCAAGTTATCCAAGTTCAATAATTTTTCGCTCTTTGGATGACAGGTGGTAATGCAGAGTACAATCTGATTTAATTAAGGTATAATAGGGTTTGTACAAGTGTAACCGTACCACTGCTATGCAACCTATTTACATGAAATTAATTTTATTAATTAGAAATTTTAATTGTTCACAATGAGATGCAATGAACAAGTGTAGTGAGACATAGGTCTATTCTTGCATGCAAGAGTTAGCGTCTTCCCACACGTGCAGCAGAAACAGGAAGACACCCCGTCGCCGGGTTCTTAGAAATTTGAAGTGAAAGTGTAACTATGAAATCTTTTGTGAATTCAATACTTGACAGCTTGTACATGCCATAACTTAAAATAGTGAAGTTTTAATGACCCAAGCCAAGCTTCACATTTGTCAAGATTCTGACAGGAAGTATGTCGGACCTCAGAAACCTAAACCCCTTGTAATCTTTAAATGGAGCGGAGGAATAGCTAATTAAGATACTCCTATTTTTTAAATGTGACCAATCACTAAAATTTAAGGGCGTGACAGAGCCGAGACGCTGATGAAACAAGGACTTGATGGTTCCAAGGGAAGTCAGTTGTCGAAGTCAGTCACACACCGGCCCTCGTAGAAATCAGACGTAAAAGTCACACACTGGCCCTTGAAGAAATCAGATGTAGAAGTTACATGCCGGATCTTGTAGAAACAAGAAGTAAAAGTATACTGGTGTTAGTCAGTTGTACAGTATTAAGAAGTGACTTAACAAGTGT